CGCCCATTTCTCTGCGGTCGAGTATCCTGTAGCATATTTCCTTTCCATTTTTGGCTCCACAGAGGTATGTTTTGATCAAGTTTGGAATAAAAAAAACCATGCACGCCTCAAGGGACGGGACGCCATTTTGAATCTGTCCAAGTGGTTCGGCATATTCTCGTCTTTGTACCACCCCCCAAATATGCGTACACCATGACTTTGAACAGGGAAACTTGTCGGGGAGGGGGGAAAAAGTGTATAATCCTGGTTTAATGCATAAATTAATGTCTAACAAAGTGAGTGAGTGATTTTTAATTGAATTTCGCCCCCAAACCCTAAACCTCATAGCATGACTTACGTCATACCATGAGGTAAAAAAGGACAAAGCTTAAGATGGAATGGTGTGAAAATTTTCTTCTGCTTTACTCTCTCCAAAAATAGCTCATATACTCCTAAAAATTTGTCGGTCCACTCCATGCGTTTTTTTTTTTTTGGCATGGGACCAAAAAGGGCATCCGGAGTGGGCAAGATCAGCCCATCTTTCCTGCATGGGTAGCCAGTGGGAACACAGGACTTGCTTTATCTTGGCCAAAGACACTACCAGGTATATGTTTTTATAATATGCGCTGAAAACTGATAGTGATATAAACTTATTAAGCGAATGTAACTCTACCAACCTTTGCCTGACATTCAACAGGCCCATAAGTTTGTCCACAAGTTCTTCTTTCGAGAAAGTTCCCTCTACGATTTCAGAAAATTTTTCTCTTCCGTAGGCCATTTTGGGCCACAAACAGTTCAACACTCTGTTTGATAACACATGAATCCCAGGTTCCAAAACTGTTACCTGTTTTCCTTCAATATTACAGTACCATCCAATCTTGGTCTCGCCAGTCTGGGACAAATTCCCCACCAAAAGATTGAATCCATTGTACTTATCACCTTCACTACTCACAGCCTCCAGGTAACTCTCAACATCAGCATTTCCTTTCAAAAAATCAGGCACAAGTTGACCTCTTCCTCTTGCTTTGGAATCGATGAATTTTGGAGCCTGTCTGTAGTTTGTTACAGCTCCAAATTTACCATCAGTTGTCATACCAAGCCATGTTCCACCTATTTTCCCTGGCTCAAGATCCATTCCTGAAAAGAAACAGGCTCACTTTGTTATAACATCTATTGAAGTGTTCAACTTGATGCTGTACTAACAACTGCACTACAGAGGTGATGGAAATCTCTCAAAAAGGCACAATGACTGTTTTTTTTTTCCCTTTAATTTTACTTAAAAGAAAGCTGACCTTCTTTAGAAAATCTATTGTTATGACAAATTTTGGGGACCAGTGGCCTGTTCACGTGGTGGGGATCAGTCCCCTTGCAGAAGCAACATATATGTTCCAGTGTTCACGTGAAAAGCTTCATTATGTTAAATAGTTTGGTGCTGTATGTCTTTAAGCTGCATCTCGCCTTTTTTCAAGATCCAAACTGTCATGTGTATTTTAAGTTTTCATTTCACAGTGTTTATTGCGTTTATTATTTTTGTTTAAAATGTCATTTATTTTCGGTTGTCATTGTCATGGCTATCCCTCGAAACGAGGATGGTGGTCTTCAAATCAATTACCCTGCTTGTGGACTCTAAGATAACTAATGAGACCAATTTCAGCCTTGAATGTTATTTCGCACTGAGGACAGGTGGTCTCTCCTTTCTCAAACATCTCTTCTCCTCTAATGCTGCACACCTACTTGTTTCAAAGAATGCTGCCCCATTCATGTGTGGTTTCACGCCAGAAATCTCTGTTCTTTGCATCAGTTTCCCAGGTTCTGATATCAATGTTGCACTTCTTCAAATTGGCTTTCAGAGTGTCTTTGTACCTCTTTTTCTGACCACCTCTCTTCCTCAATCCTTCTTTAAGTTGTGAATAGAAGACCTGTTTTAGAAGTTGCTCTTCTGACATTTGGACAACATGGCCACTCCACCTGAGCTGACTCTTGATGATAAGAGCTTCTATGCTGGATACATTTGCGTCCTTAAGTACGCTGACATTGGTTCGTCTGTCATCCCAGCTTATCTTTAAAATGCTCTGTAGGCAGCGCTGATGAAACTTTTCTAGTGTTTTCAGATGTCTTCGGTATGCTGTCCATGTTTCCAAGGCATACAGGAGGGTTGGAAGTACTACTACTTTGTACACAGGAATTTTTGTGTCAGTACGAATGTCATGGTCGAGAAACACTCTCCTCTTAAGATGTCCAAAGGCTGTCCCAGCACATTTCAGGCAATGCTGGATCTCATCATAAAGGTTAACTCTGGAGGAAAGGTGACTTCCAAGATATGGGAAGTGATCAACATATTCCAGGACTGTTTCACCAAGTACAATTGTTGGCTGTGAAAGGTTTGCTGCATTTGGTGGAGGTTGGTAAATAACTTGTGTCTTCTTGGTGTTAACAGTAAGCCCAAGCTTCATGTATGCAAGATTGAAGGCAGTCAGGATCTGTTGCAAATGGTTGTCAGACAGAGCTGCAACACAGTTATCATCTCCATACTGGAACTCAATAAGGGAACCTGTAGATGTCTTCCTTGCTGATTAAAGACGAGTCACGTTAAAGATTTCATCATCTGTCCTGTAGAATTTCAATACCTTGAGGCAGGTCATCTTTAATGATCTGGGTAAGTGTTGAGATGAACATAGAGAGCAATGTCGGGGCAATCACACATCCCTGCTTCACGCCAGATTTGACTTGAAACGGATCACTTTGTTCATTGCCAATCTTGACTGTGGCACGCATGTCATCATGAAGTAGTCTTAGGATGCAGATGTACTTGTATGGGCAACCACATTTGGTCAGAATATCCCAAAGGAGTTCCCTGGACACTGAATCAAATGCCTTGGTGAGGTTCATGAAGGCCATATACAAAGGCTGGTATTGTTCACGACATTTCTCCTGCAACTGGCGTAGTGTAAATATCATGTCAGTTGTTCCATGAGATGGTCAAAAACCAGATTGAGTCGCTGGAAGAATTTTCTGTGCTAAACGTTGAAGACGATTATTCATAATACCGGTAAGAACCTTTCCTGCTGTTGAGAGCAAAGTGATGCCATGATAGTTTCCACATTCTGACCTATCTCCTTTACTCTTGTAGATGGTGACAATGGTCGAGTCTCTAAGATCTGCTGGTAACTCTTCAGTTTTCCAGATGTTCACAAGGAGTCAATGTAGTTGGGCCTGAAGCTTTTCACCACCGTATTTGAAGATCTCTGCGGGTATACCATCAGGTCCAGCTGCCTTGTTGTTTTTCATGGTTTTGATGGCTTCTTCAAGCTCCTCAATTGTTGGTTCTTTGCAAAGAGAGTTGTCAACAGGCTGCTTCGGTATACCGTTGATAGCATCTGGGTCAAAAGTAACAGTCTGGTTCAGGAGTTCATCGAAGTGCTCCTTCCATCTAGACTTGATGTCTTCATTACTTTTTAGAATAGCTGAGCCATCTTTACTCTTGAGAGGGGCTTGGCCATAAGTGGATGGACCATAAATGGCATTAGTTGCAGAGAAAAAGCCACGTGTATCGTTTCTATCGGCTAATTGTTGAATTTCTTGTACCTTCTCCTTCCACCATTTGTTCTTCGAATCAAATGTGGTCTTCTGCACTACAGCTTTGCATACACGATATTGTGCCCTCTTTGAAGCTGATTGCTGGTCATTTTGCAAGGTGACAAATGCTTTCCCCTTAGCTTCTCATCAGTGAGCTGTTGAAGTTGCTCATTGTTGTCATCAAACCAGTCCTGGTGCCTTTTCTTCTTCAGTCCAAGTGTCTCCTCACAAGTGGTTGTGATAGCAAGCTTCATTTGATCCCAGTGCTCTTTTATTGATGGTGGGAATGGGTTAGGTAGCTTTGCCTCAAGATTTTGCTGAAACATCTTTATGAGGGACTCGTCTTCGACGGGAGCTAGGTGGTACTTCTTGGTAGTGTTCTAATTCTGATGTTTCCGATGCTTCTGTTTTGGATAATGGTCACCAGGGATCAATAATGGTTGCCATGGATCAATACAAGAGCACAGGAGGCGAAGAAAGTTATGAGTACAAGATGAAACAAGATTTTTGCAAGATTTTTTTATTTTATACACTTTCATGTTAGATTCAATAAAGGTTATTTCTTATTAAAGATATTTCTTAGCTATAGGGTATTTCTCAAATGAAAGAAATGATAAGACGTATCACAATAGGTTGGCTTGGGATTTTATTGTACTCGTGATTGTAGGAAAATACTTGCAAGTAGTTACGCAAAGTGAATTATGTAGTAGATCGTATTTTAAGTTAGATTTATAAGAACCTTTGATGAAACAAGTACTCGTTGACCTCGAAGCGAGACCCTCGGTAAGAGCACGAGAGGACTGGGTTTTGACAGACAAGGTGTGTCGAGATGGAGTGAAGGTCATAGACAGAATAATCAACAGGAAGGAGTTAACAGAAGATCAAGGCAACAGCTTTAAACCAAAGAATTGCCATGCACCTAGACTCACTGGACTGCCAAAGGTCCATAAAGAAGGGGTACCATGAGAGGTATTGTGTCAATGATAGGACTGGGTTCCACACTAACTTTTCCACTTACTAGCCAAGTGGCTAGCGACATCTTACATGTTTTTAGATGTTACGACAATTTCAGTCTGTTTACCAGGCAAACTGGCTAATGGAAATTGAAAACCACCGGCCAAAACTGAATTTCTACGAGTCTGTGGCTAGTGGGCTACTGTTAGTGTCAAGCCCTGTAGGATCCCCTTTTGAGAAGATTTCAAAGACCCTGATCCTGATCTTAAGAACTGTACAAGGGAGAAGTGGCCTTTATGTTAAGAATTCCAGAGAGCTTAAAGAGAAAATCAAAGATTGGAGAGTAGAGAGAAATGAGATCCTGGTCAGCTATCTGTTATTCTGTCTGAACAGGATGTTTGTAATCCCTAGATTGTGTTCAACACATTTGGTGAGGAGAAGTATTCCATTCTCATTGACTTTGCCAACTCCTTCTTTGCCAATTGTCCCACTGCAGAGTAGGTGGTCTTTCCCAACTTGGGCGTTGAAGTCTCCAAGTAGAATTATCTCGTCCAACTGTCCAACTGGGCATAAAAAGTCTCCTTTACTTTATCATCAGAGTTTAATGTTGGTGCATAAGCAATGATGATAAAAGCATGCTGGTTCTTAACAAGTTGGATGCGCAGAGTCATCAGACATTTATTAAATCCCACTGGTTGTTCTGTCAATTTGGGAAGACTAATTCTTATAGCAAAGCCTACACCATGAATTCTTGACTGTTCAGGATCTAGCCCTTTCTAGAAGAATGTGTACTGACCTTGGTGTTCTCTCAGTTGGCCTTCCCAGCTCTACCGGTTTCACTAAGAGCAACAATGTCAAAGTTGAATTTATATAGTTGACAGGCAATAAAAGCAGTTCTTCTCTCTGCTCAATCTGAGTTTGGATTGTCCATCAGAGTCCTTACATTCCAGGTTCCAAATTTCAAGATATCAGTCCTAGGTAATTTCTCTTTGTTACGACTGCTTATTGGTGATCCCTCTGGATGTGGTTTTCCAGACAGGTTGAGATGAGGCAGACTATTTTTGAGGCACCTTTTCTAGCCCCTTCCCTATTTAGGGTGAGCAGAGTGGATCCTAAAAAGGACTGCTCAGACATGAACATTGCTGCCGAACAACTTTCCTGCTTCTGTCCAAAGGCTGAATGACTGATTCAGGTATTCACCACTTCTGTGCCGGTTCTTGACTAAGAGTTTTCCACCAATCACAAGACCTGCTCCCATCACCCTTTCCCAATCGCCAGAAGACCTCTTAGAGATGCCAAGACACCTGTGCATGAGTTTGCTTTGAGTGTACTGCATGTTGCACATGATGATCTTTCTTACTGTGTAACACACTGTCCTTCACAAATCAGTCAGCTGGATCCAGTGGCAAGGAGAACCAAGACAACTGGAGCTAAGAGATTTTTTGCAGCCTTCACCACCTTCACAGCTGGAAATGGAGCTCAGAGGAGACTTTGCCCGCCTGATCCACCATTGAGGATTTGTGGTTTGCTGGATGGCCGTTGTTGGTTCTCCTGAACCGACACCCTTAAAGTTGGTTTTTGTTTTTAATACTAACCAGGTGTCCAGCCACCCTCCACACCAAGCTGCTAAGGAAGCTGGTGGGGGTACCAGTTTAGTCGCCGCTGGCCCAACTCTGAAGCAGGTAGTATTGGATTACAGGTTACCAATAGAAAGTCTCCTGACCTTACCTGACCTGACCTGACTGGCTATTTTCGGTAGTTAGATTTAGTATAATTTTATTTTTGTTATAGAAACCACTGGTCAAGAAATAAATGTATATGGTTCAGATAGCCATTGAGTAATGTTACTGGTGCATACATTACATCTGTTAAGTTTTGCCACAACATTGAATGCTGAGTTACTAAATGAAAAACACTTATTATATGTTCGCTTGTAGCAGTTCTCTCTGGGAAGGCTTTCTTATTTATTGGGAAGACTTTTTACCTTGTCAAAAGATAAAGCATGGTCTTAATCAATATAAAATGTTTTCAGTGAAATGATTCACGTACTTTTTCATTAGTGAGCCAATTAGACTTCACACAAAATATTCTTGGGACAACCAAAACCTTCTGCATAAGGAAAGTTGAATTAAATTCCATCCCAAGCCTTACCTACATTTAGAAAATATCATTCTAGTTAAGGGTTTCATGTGATAACAAAGAACTTGTGCCTTGAGAACAACTAACCCATGCTAGACCTCTGTCCTCCAGAGACACAGATCTCGATATTCAGAGTGTTTCAGAAAATAAATCTACCTGCAACTATGTTTGGATATTCCTCCCAAAACTTGGCACTGGCTGTTGGTCTGAAATAAAACTCATCTCTGTTTGATGCAATGATCAAATGGTATCTATCAGGGTTTGGCTCCTTGCACAAGTATAGGAACAAAATGCACATCTCAATGTCTTTGCTCCTTCAAATTTTCTTTCCGTAATTGTCTACATCTGAAATACACAATCAGATTTGGTTTTGTGAGGTTCTGTAAAAGGTGTATGCTCTTAAATAGTGATTCCTATTGTTAAATGATGAATTAAAATTCACAAGCATTAAAATTCAGCGACCCCATTCAAATTTAGAGTCTGAATGTTCTACATTAGAATGCTACAGGTCTACAAATAACTTCCTGTCTCGTGCAATTAAAATTTTAATTATCTGTTGGTAATTGATAAAAATCAAACTGCTAGTTAGCATGCTTATTCCAGAGTTGAACTACTAAGTTTTACTTGGACAGTCAGTTAATTAGAATCAATTTTTTCCATGAAAAAGATTTAAATTTAGAATGAGTGTTCACCTTAAAAATCTTTGGGCTCTTTTTACAGAACACCTAACTCAGTAAAAAACAAAAAACAAAAGATACACGAAAAATGTCCATGTCAATTTTCAATGTCAAGGCTAAAGTTCTTTGATGTGATTGGTTAATTTGTAAATTCATGCACACCATGTGTGAATACAAAAAATAATACAAAGGGGGGAGAAAATGAGGAAGATTGTAATTTAAACTTTAAAAACAAAAGGGATTTTCTACGGATTTATTAATTCTACTGTAATGAATTCTGAAACTTGATAAAAGGGTTAAGTTAAATCACACGTGCATTGTTTCTTTCATCCAGCTATCAGAATCAAAATTAAACATTTCACATTGAAAACAAAAGTCAGATTAAAACTTTGAACGACAAATATTACAATCAGGATGTTATTCTTTCATAGAATATTAATTTTATAGGATATTACTTTAAATTGAACAAACTTCAATTCAAACTCTCTTTTCAGGGCTTCAATAGTTTAAATTATAGTAACTACTGACAGTCAAAATAACACTTCAGGAAACCCATAAGATCATTTTTGTTTCCAATTAATCTTTTAGATATAAGCTCTACTCTGTATACTCTTGTGCGAGATCCGTGGCAATATTTTCTTCTGATAATATACGCCGTTATTCACCGATTCAGTGACATCAAGGAAATTATTGAGATCAGTCGTCAAATTTCCTATCAATTTTATCGCAGACAAAAGACAAGTTTTACCTGATCATGGGATGCGAACCACTTTGACTTGTTTTTCAGATGATTAATAAAAATTGCGCTGACTCACATTATTTACTGCAATATTTCAACTCCAACAGAGAAAAGTATTGTGCACAGGTTCTGGTGTTTAATTTTTGTTTAGCCGAGTTCACATGATTGCAATCCTAATTGTTTTGGATTATTGTCAATTGTCTTCTCCAGTTGAGGCTTATCAACTGCGTCATCAGCAAGACCATTTATGAAAACCACAAATTGATAAGAAACATACCTGATATGATGCACGATTACCTCATCATGAAACTTCATGGCCAATATTATCATCCTCAACCCAGCTGATTTACCTCATGAACTTCATGTGTTACACCAGGCCTGGTGTTACACTAACATGACACTGTATCCAGGCTTCCGCTGCTTTGCATAGTCTGCATGGAGACGAGGGTACATTTTACCTGAAAGTGAGGCTCTAAGGAATCAAAATGGCGTCTTGTTATTTATAAAATTAATTTTATAACATAAAAAGATATGGACGAACTCGGTAGCAGTTCACAGGATTTTCCTGACGGTAATAAATCGAAAAATTTATGAGTTTTAATCTTTTAGACGACGACCAATTTTGATTTTCTTGTAATGCTTTGTCAGATATTGCTGTTCTCAAAGCCACTATTGAAGAGTCGAGGCGAAGAGAGCAACAGCTTCTACGAAGTAAGGAGCAGAGCGAAATTGAATTTGGTCAAAGGAGAGCAAAATTTAAAGAACTCTATATGGCAAGAGAAGGTATCAGTGCTTCATACGTATATGTTTGAGTTGTTCCTTAATTAATTTGGCCTTGCAAAAACACAAGCTTGTGTACGTCTGAGGTTTGTGGTTTCAGCTTTTAAATCTTAATCTGTTAAATTAATTTGTTTTAGATATTATTACAACCTAGATATCTTATCATTCGGCAATGTACTTTTCTACTTTAATACTTGTTTAAATGCATGTGCATAATCCTTTAAGCATATTAGGTGTAAGGCGTTAAATGGATACTGTACTGATTATGCAATTGAATGTACTTCCTTTACCCTTTAGCTCCCATAAATGATCAAGACAGAATTTCCCCTTACAATATCGATACAATATGAAACAGACAAGTGATGAGAATAAAGGAAAATATCAAATAGGGAATTATTAGTTGATCCAATTCAAAATCCTCCTAAGTAACATCACAAGAATTGTGAGGAGAATTACTAAAGAGATCTTTCAAGTGAAAGGGTTAACTCTGTAAAAATACTCAAATTTAAATCAATTTTAAACTCCTGATAACACTTTTTGAAGACATGTTTTGGTAGGACTCATGTCATGTTAATTATGTTGTACCCATTTGCTGTGTTTTTTACACACTGCATTAAGTCATCTAACTCAGTGTATTTTAAGGAAACTGCAGTCAGGGTGCAGTCTTGATGATATTTTGGCATGTATGCCATTTTACAATGCTGTCAGGATTATGTTTTTGCTTCTGCAGAGGCTTACACTACAAAAGGCCAAAAGAGTTATGCTAACCAATTTGAAATGGAAAAGTAAGACAGTTAAGTCAGTAATTTAAAAAAAATAATAAAATAACAAGCTGTTTCATTTGAGCAAATAATCATGTAAGTATGGAATATCAAGTGTTAGTCTACTCAGAGTGCTATAGACACATTTAATTGTTGGCACAGTGATAAAACCTATTATGGATATTATCATTTTCTTTCCAGAGGAACTTGTAAAAGAAAAGGCAAAGCTTCAGGCAACACAGGAAGAAGCAAGGAAGCTTAGAAATGAACTTCAGAAAGTTTTAGCAGAGGGTGATGGATATAGGGCCGCTGCAGTTTTGGCAGAGAAATCTCAGAAAGAGGAACTAGAGAGATTACGTGCAAATTACCGAGAGGAGATTGCATCTTTACAACACATCATGTCTGGTAATTTAAACTATTGAATCAAGCAAGATGAAACAGCAAAAAAGCACTGCCTGTGTGTTTTGATTTTTGTAAAAGCTTACCAGCCAATAAATAGGTTTCAAATGTCATAATGCATGATCAGTAGACATATAGTCATATTGTGGAAATGGATTAATCCTTGAGAATATAATGAAGGTCTATTTATTATTGCAGAGGCTGTACATGAGGCCAAGGAACGTTCTGCAGAACAATTTGAAATAGAAAAGCACAATCTTTTGGCCAGAAATAAAAAATTAGAAAATGAATTAACAAATCTCAAGTCTCTCCTTTCATCTGAAGAAGAGAGTAGCAACAGACCGAGAATGCTGTCAGGGATCTCTGATGCAGTGGTTAATGTCATAAAAAGGAACACTACAGCGAGTGGTAATTCTATTGTGGAAGATGGGGCTGTATCACCTGATGGAAAATCATTAGAGAAAAGCATGGAAAAGGTAATGGAAGCCAATTAATTTTTATTGACAAGTAAGAAAATTGTTCAATCAAAGAAACTGCAGGAAAAGACGCCTGAAAAAAAAATTGAGGCTTTGATAGAATGTGAACCTATTCCCTCCAATTACCTTGTTGAACACTACCACCAAGTGGGCTATAGAGCCACAAATTGGGAGTTAGCCTCCCTACATGTGGCCTTGCACTTCTTTTTACTGTTATTATAAATGAAATATTTGTTGTTTGGGAATAATTAAAAATTTTACTTATAGTTGAGATGTCACAATGGGCGTGTGGCAACTATGCCTTTATTGACACACATCAAATTAAAACTCTACATGAGAAGATAATGGCAAAACATGGTATAAACTGAACTAAAAACAAAGGTTTTTGAAACATTCTGTTAAGATTGTGATTATGACTGAGTCCCCTTCATACAGCTCTCCTGATAGTTTCAAGAGAAAAGAAGTGAAATTGCAGCCAGCTGATAGTTTCACCTTTAAGATTTGGTGAAAAAGGTTTTTCACATCTTTTTTTAAGGCACAAGAGGATGCAGAAGCCTGGAGATCAATTGTTATGCCTTTAGAGGAGGTAACCCTTTTTTATTTTTTCAATATACTCAACAGAATATCTTGATTTCTTTGTTTGTTTGTTTGTATCATGAACCATCAAAAACTTTTATCGTTAATGAGATAATTATTGATCTGTGATCATAATAAATTAGCATCCAGGTTTTTAAGGGACAAAGTTCCCTTTTTGAGTGGTCTCTGTCTATTTTATTTTACTGTATTTTACACCATAAATAATGATATTGGAAAAAGGAATTGTTGATGTTCATCAATAATTGGTCTTGTTACATCGCTTGCAGTGCCCATGGGCAAGATGAAGCAAATTATGCATTCCAATTGGCCTCCTGAGAGGGCAAGATGGGCCCATCTTGCCCACTTGGGATTGCCTGGATTGATCCCATGCAATTAAAACTAAATTTGTAATTCTTGGACAATTTCTGCAATGGAAATGCAAAAAGCGGCAGAATATAGTCAAAATAAAGAATAACAGAAATGATTGTCATGAGTTTGTTGTGCAACAAACACAGTTGGCTTTCTTTTTCGGCTCTTAAAGTAAACAAGTCGTTCTTAATTCCTAGTAAGGCAAAATCTTTTTGCACTATAATAAAACCTTTATAACCAAGCTTGTTCAGTCAAAGTGGTTGGATATTAGCCTCGTTCTTTTTTTCTCATTTTTATAGACCTAAACTTCCTCTCAGTCTACATAAAGGCAAAAAAAGAACTCAGCCAATATCCAGCCATCTTGACCTCACACCTGGTTGATAACACATGTTATAATATCTTATAAATATCTGGTTTTGTTAACCTCCTTGTTCATGATATTTTTGTTAGGAATTATCCTTCACGAAGGCAAAACTAAAAGATTTACAAGAAAAGTTACAAATTGCAGAAGCCAAGATTAAGGTCTGCTGTTGTGTTGTTGATAATAAAATTTGAGGCTCAAAATTATATCCATACCAGGCCCAGGTATGGATATCAGGCATTCCAGTTGTTATAAGAAACTTGTCACAAAAGCATAGGATTCAGAACTGAGATTTTCAAAAGAGTGGGAAGGGGGTCAAATTAAAAACACTTCACTAGTATCAGGGGTATTTTTGATTAGCACTGTGACAATAATTATATTGTTCCAAATTTTCACTAATGTTCCCTTATTATTCAAACATTGTCTTTTTACTTTCATTTTTGGTCATCAGGAAGGAGAAAATAAAAAAAATGATAAAAAATCAGATGGTGGAGAAACTTTCTCAAAGGAAAAATTTGAAGAGCTACAAGAAAAGGTATTTATAAACATTGTAAAGGAAATAAATAACTACATCAATCTAGAGATCAAATCTCATTCAAATTGGTTCAGTCTGATCTTTTAGAAAGAACATTATTTTTGAAGGGATCAAAGAGCTTGAGTTTTTTCACATGTATTTTTATTTCATTTGGTTGAAGGTAAAAGAAGTTAATCAATACCTGGAGGCTGAGAGGTCATCACGCACAGATCTGGAGATGTATGTGGCTGTCTTGAACACTCAAAAGGGTCAGTGGTTTATTTTCACCATTCTGTACCATATCTGTAGCATTTCTGTTGTCTGTGTGTGAATGGTATAATATTGGAATTGTAATATAGCATATTTTATTTTATTTTAGCTTATTTTGTCAAATATATTAGCTCTATACAGCTACTCTATGTAATGGTTTAAATGTTGCTGAAATTGTGTGTATGTGTAACACAAGTCATGTTATCATGAAATCTTGCTAAGAAAGTTAACATGAAAGTTGTGATTAATTTTGAAGGTGTTTTGCAAGAAGACTCTGAGAAATTAAGAAAAGAGCTTCACAATGGTAAGTTTGAATTTTGAAAATCTGTTCAAATGTCAGTTGTCAGCAGCAACTCACTGGTCCCCTTGATTGTACCTTAATTTCCCAACTAGGCAAATGTTTGATTTTTTTTTTCATTATACTGCAGCTGTGAGGTCAGGTATTTTAAAATGTTACAGATTGTTCATTTTAATATTTCCTTCAGTCTGTAGATTGCTAGAGCAAGAAAAAATGTCACACAATGATTTAAAGCAGACGTGGGAGATGGCAAATGTACAGTTTGTGGAGAATCTCAAGGTACAGAGTGAAGCTTTCACCAGAGTGTGGAATGTCCTGACACCTGATCAGCGAGCTGCTGTTCAGTTAAAACAGGGACAACAACAGGAAGGGCAGCAGGAACCAAATCGCCAACCACAAGTTGGCCATCTTATTGATCTGCAGAGTCCCCAGACATCCCCACAGCCAACTAATGACCAGGTAAACACATTGGATAAAAAATCAATTCATGTGCAGTCACAAAAATATTCATGGGCTAAAAAAAATATTCATTTGGACTTCAATTATTCGGTTTTAAGGCAGGGGTTGCATGTTAAAGTTTCATTCTTAACTGACTCCTAGTTTTAGATTATATACTTGGTATGTTTAGGTTTCATATCTCAACTTCAATGTTCTTATGTGTTAAAAAAGTCCTAGACAGTATATTTGGTATACTTTTCTTTATTTATGACCTTGACTTTTTCATGCCAGTGGTGAAGCCACTTCACCCAATGTCAGTAGTTGTATAGTATACCACATGAAGGCATTGATCATGTACCACTCCCTCAATGAACCATTTTGCTTAATCATTATATGGAAATGGTTTGATCAAATTCTCATAGTTTGATCAAGTTTTGATCATATTTCACTCACTTGTCATTCATCTTTGTCCTTGTAGCCTAGCCTTGTGCCTTTATCTCCACAAGTGCCTGGAGAATCTGGGTCAATGTGGGATAGCATTCCTACTGTTCCTTGCACAAATCAGCTGTCATCTGAAATGAATAATATTCCTGGAACAACAAAAGAGGAAGACAGTGAAGTGGGACTAAGGAGGGTACACTCAGCATCTGATGTAACATGGAGTCTGGAGAGTGAGTGACAACTATTAAAATGATTTACATTAATTGACCTGATTGTAATGTTGAATGTGATGAGTTAGAGCTACCAACATAGTTTAGCTATCCCTTTTTATTTTCTCCTGTAGCACCTCAGTAGGAAAGGATCTTGAACCCTCAAATTTTATTTGCTAACGTACGTACATACATACATACATACATACATACATACATACATACATACATACATACATACATACATACATAAACTTTACTTTTTCCTCGAATTTAAGAGTAGCTTTTAAAAACTAATTTTTTCTGAGAAATTTGGTCGAAATTTGGTTGAAACTGGTCCAGCTTTTTACAATTTAAACCACGGTTGGGAACTTTTTTCTGTCTACAATAATTATATTTTAAAGGCTTTGAATGACTGTGTTTTAAGGTAACAATTGTGAGGTTTCCAGAGCACATTCTGTAGAGGAGCTAAATCCAGAGCTATCATCAGGTGCTGTGTCTAACGAACCCCCATCTGATGGACCCAGTTCCCTCCCTGGCAGACCTCAGGTATCCACCAAAGGATCTGGGGCCAAAGTTGACTGGAAGAATTTCCAAGAAGCTGTGAGTTATTCTGGAATGAAGGCTAATTATGATTTCAGAAGCGACTCATAGTGGTGTCTCTCTCAAGCTCACTCATATCAATCATTATTGACCTAAATTCTTAATATAGCATTACTATTCCATATATCCTCCTTTTCTCACTCACAATCAAATCAAGCTGTTTAACAATATATGATCGGGAATTATAAAGAGTTTGATCTAATAAACACTACATACTTGAGATTTCAACTTTTTAGCATTTGTAATTTTCACATATGATGTATTGGAATATTTGTGACTCAGTGTTACAACAGATTCCTTTATGGAATCACTTGCTAACTGTTTAGAACATGACTCACTGACATAAGACATGATGAATTGTTTATCAGAGTTCATTCACTTTCATTTATATGCGCATTCTGCAGGTAAAAGTTTCCCATGAAAGCACCTTGAACAGATCTTGTGCCATGTGTGTTAACTATGAAAAACAACTTCAAAAGATGCAGGATGAAAATCAGAAATTTCAAAACTTAGCCTCCAATTTACAAGTGGCACTAGATCAAGAAAAGGTACAGTCTCTAACAGATTTGAGGAATTGATGAAATGCCTTAGAACTGCAAATTGTACTGATTCTTGCAGTTTGTTCTGAATTCAATTAGTCTGATCAAAAATTAGTTATTCTTAATTTTCCTTTGTAATTGGAATCTGTCAACTACCAAAGAGATATTTCTCTTTGAAAATGCGATAAATGGAAAGAAATGAAAATAAAAGAAACATCCAGAAAATCCAGTTTAAGGACTATGATTTTATAAGTAATCTTTTCTATTCACATGTTCCCAAAACATCTTGTTGTTTGATAGAAGGAACTGTTTAAAGAACAAAAGATGAGAAGTAAGTTGGAGGAGAGTGTGTCAAGTGCTGCAGAGGATGCACAAATGCAAATCAACAATCACACAATGACAAACAATAACTTGGAAAAGTTGATTGCTGGGCTTAAAGAGAACTTTGAGGCAACTAAACATGGAGCTCAAACTCAGATTGTAAGGATGCTAACTCTTAAAGGCACTGATGATCATCAACTTTTTTCATTTCTATTTTTGGTTTTCTGTGTGATGCAATTTAACTTTGTTTTTCAAAAGGACACCTTTTCAGACAATATTCTTGGCTTTATAGTTTAATGTTTGAAAACTATTATAATATTGAAAAGAATGCATACATTTTCTTTTTACTCTATAGGCAAAGCTTGTAACCTCAAGGGATCAACTGATGCAGGAGGTACACCTTGTGGTGACTTTGTTCTATTGACATATTTGATAAATTGTCAAACTCTTTCACAATGTTTGGTGTTTTCACCAATGTACAAGTCGTTTTATGTTGAGTGAGGGAAGGTTCCAAGTGGTTTTTGTGATCTCACATCAGATCTGTTACAGCTAATTTTATCCCTTTGTTTTAAGTTGTGAACATTAGTCTATACGCTACAGGACCTGCCATTGCTAGTTGGAATATTTTTGTGCATGTCTAAAATTTGATGGGATTTGCACATTTATAGCTTTCACGGCTTAGAACAGAATATGCTGCACTTCAAGACAATGCTATTCAACAACTGACACATATGGACTCTGATGCCAGGCTAGCTGAAATGCATGAGCAGTTGATGCAGATTAGAGCAGCTTCAGAGGGCACAGAGGAAAAGCTCAGAAGTGAGGTGAGAAGAAATCAGCATTAAATGAGCTTGTTTTGAAAACTAATTTTCATGTAATGTAATTGGACAGGTATGATGACCCATGAAATAGTGATGTCTTTGCTCTGTTGACAAAGCCAGCCATTCATGGGGTAGATCCACCTTTAAATTTGAGTCCTTTCTTTTGTTTCAATAAAAAAGTATTAGACACGGGCCATGTGGGTGAAGATGTTTATTAAACTGTGCAGAGATATGTAACAGTTTGAGTGGCTTTAGGCAAGGGTTACCCCCTTCCCCCCGCCGGACTTGTGTGTATTAACTGTTTGACTTTGTTTAAAGGTGGCTTTTCTGAAGGATCGTGTGATGGCAGAACAAGTTGCCAAGGACAGTCTGGAAGCAATGCTTCAAGGAGATGTGGATCATACCAGGGCTGAACTTGGTAAGAGTCTGTCTTCTTAAACATCTCTTTCATCAATCGTCAACATGCTGAAATGCTAAATACTCTTGCTTAAATCTTCCTCTGTCTGAGAGGACTGCAGTCTCAAATGCCGCAGTGGAGAACAGATGGAACACTTCCTGCTGTTACGTGTGTGCACCTACAGTAATTGCATTAAAAAAGCATGGCTTGGTTTCTCTTGCAAAACTACTCTTATTTCCCTGTTTCAGACCTTCAATTACACTCAGCAAGCATTTTGTTTACAATTGCACTCCTCCCCTCTCTTCTTCCTAAAAAAAAATTAAAAAAAAAACCAAAAAGACTAAAATTATAGTTAGAGATGTTCATTTGATTATATTATCCATTATAATAATATTGGTAAAATTTCAACCTAACCCCTTTCCCAAAGTAGTTACCTTGGAAGTGTGTTATTTGTTTTACTTATAGAGAGGTTAAGAGGAGAGTGTGACAAAGAAAAAAAAGCCAGAGAAGAGGTATTTACCACAAAGCGCAGATGTGTCTTTTGTGTTATTCGTTTTAAATACATAACTGTAGGTTTTGATACAAACTTGTTTCATGTAAGAGATGTGTTTGTTCGTCATCATGGTTTATCATTTTATACACACATGAACTCTGAGTTGTTTGGTTCAGATTATGGTGTCACTGTCAACTTTAAGTTGCCACATTTCAACTGAAAGACCGATAAGTTCAAATTGAAAGATACCTACACCAGTCTAGACAGATGCTAAGGGAATGTACAGCTTGATCCACTGGGATCTAAAATGACTGCCTAGTAAAGCTGCTAAAAGTATGCTGGTGTGATACACAGGCACAGGCCAGGCTTAACATGTCAGGTCAGTCCATAAAGAACAAAGAGGACAAATCGACACAAGTAATCATTGCTCTTAGAGGACAACTGGATGAAGCTAATGCAGAAAAAGTATGAAGATTTTAATGAGGTTTTATCATGCTTTTCCTAGTCTATATGAAATATTAAAATAAGATAGTGTGCAGACCAGTGCATACATAAAATTAATATTTAAACACATAAGCTTAGTTAGTATAACGTCATTTCCCTGCTCTTAAGAATGTCTGAGGTAATTATTTTCTGCAGTGCTTCGAACATTTGATCATGAAGTTGTTTCTTAACTGTTGTCACATGATGTCTTGGTCTGTACCTTTCTGAATCATGCTGAAAATTAAGTCCAACTTTACCCAATGAATTGAGGCATCAACTTAAATGCAAACTTTTGGTGTAGCTCTACTCTGTAGAGTGTATGAAGTTAAACAGACCAAAACAGGTGATAGGCATTTTGGCACTAAAAAAATGGCCGTTTTTAACTAAATAAATTCAAATACAATGAAGAAAATTTTACCCATTTTTTATTGCAGACCAAGGCAGAAGAGGAAAGCAAACAATTGAGAAACCAATTACAGGCAATGACTGAACAACTAAACCAAAGTGAGACTGTTCAGAGAGACTTTGTACGCTTATCCCAGTCTTTACAGGTGATTGATCAAATCATAGTTTAATAAAGAGCAATGGTTTTGACACTCAGCTGATTTTCTTGTTATGTCTTGTTGCACATTTTAATTTTTTTTTTTGTTCCTAGTCTCTCTGGATCAACCATTGCATCACATTCATTCAGTCAAATTAATCCTTTTTTTGATAGGTAGTGAAAATTGTTTTTGATTCAATTTTTTAGATGCAAATTGCTCAAATTCATGAATCAGAAACAGATGTTCGCTGGCAGTATCCTGATGATATTAAAGAATGTACAGATTGCCAAAAAGTATTGAAAACAACCAAAGATAAGGTGGGTAAAAGTATGAATAAACTGTTGTTTCATTCTTGTCAAAGGTCAGGTAAAGAAAGTTATTAAATTCAGAAAAAAAAGTCTTCTTTTCAAGAAAGGTGGCCTTGATTGTGATTCAGGATGTCAGCTAAGTAATTCTTTGCAGACAGACCAAAATCTTTTTCATGGAAAAACTATCGCATTATTCAATAAAAGATACTTTGTTTCTTTATTATACTATTTTTCATCTTTCTATTTCAGCAAAACTGTCATCATTGTGGTAAAATATTCTGTGAACAGTGTTTGTCCAAGTCTATAATGGGAAGTAAATCATCCAAGTGGCACCCTGTGTGTGACAGCTGTTATGTTATACTAAACAAGGACTCTTCTTCAACATTCTATAACACAACCCTGGCTGACAATCAGAGATGAGTGTTCATAAACCCGTTACTTTGGAAGTTCAGATCTAATGGCTAATTGGGAAAAAGAGTATTAAGATATCCCTGCAGTTATATTTCGTGTTGAAGAGAAACTTTCAGCTGATTCTTTACTATCTGTGAATTCATGAAAGAACCTGAATGGAGGGGTTAGCAGTTTTCTTGCCTCACTTGTAAGTAGGTGATGTAGCAAATGCAGGAAAGAAATAGAAATATCTTTAACTATTTGTATAAAACCTTGGTCTAAAATACCAGATAGTGATAAAATTATTTTACCACATTTTGTCAGGTGGATTGATTCTGCCTTGGCTTAGAGGGTGGCGTTACTTAGAATTTCAGTTATTGTTGTTCTTAAATCATACAATCATGATTATTATCATGTAGCTAACCTTCATTATATGGAAGCTATTATTAAAGGAAACACAAGTTGTTCCCAACATTATCAGAACATTATATTTGTTGGTTACACAAATTCTTGAGTGGGAAGGAACTTCTTTGGGCAGACATTGTACAAATATTCTGCTTGCATCAATGAACATTGTGCTGTTTTCCATATTTCAAGTTGGACTTCATTATTGTGTGGGTATTCTGATATTCAATTTTGTACACATACTTCAACAAATTCAATTGTAGAGGTGTATAATATAGATGGAATTTACAATAAAGAATAAAGATTCCCCACTCATTTTTCTTAATTGATTGAATTAAACATCAAGTAAAATATGACTTTTTCAGATAGTTATTTGCAGAATAAATCTTACTCACTTAGGGAAAGAGTGAGATAGTTAAGTTATTGTATCATTTTTGATATTTCATAATGATAGGAGTGGGGATAGGAGTGGCAACAGGAGAAATTAAAAGTATGTTGTCAGCATGGAATTTAATTTTTCAGGGTGGTGGTGAAGGAGAAAAACATAGTGCATATTCCTTGGCTACCTCTTCAGTTCTTTCTCTTCACTTCTTTAGTTCGTGGTGCCTTTACTAGTTTCTGTAATCTCTGTTTTATCTTTAACATGGAAACACACTTTTGGCATTTTTCTGTTATTTGTAATTTTATAGTATGAGTGATGACACTTGATGTTTTTTACTAAATGTTCAACAGGAGATGGTATTAAATAAAGATCTACTTAAATTTGTTTTCAGTATGTTTATTTTTACAATTTGATTCAATCATTTGTTGCATGGAAATTATAAATCAACTCTGTAAACTGGCTTCCTTGTACACACTTGTTTTTTCTCCAATGGTCACTTTGTAAACTGTTCATGCCAATTTATCTCAGGCTTGAATTTAAGTGTTCACCCCCTTTCAGCCATAATAAGAAAAATCAAGAAAGAATTCTCAAGGCTGCCATTACATGGTCTGTAAATGGGAAACATTATTCTGTATGTGCTTTGTCATGGCACTGTTAGAGCCCCTAGTACAATTAGAAAAAAAAAGGTAACTTGTCCTATAGAGCGCCAGACTGTTGTGTGTGAGGTCGTGAGTTCAAATCCAGCCGGACCAACACTCAGGGTCTTTAAATAACTGAGAAGAAAGTGCTCCACCTTTGTAATAATATCTGCAAATGGTTAGACTTTCTAGTCTTCTCTGATAGGGACGATAAATGGTGGTCCCGTCTCACAAGTCCTTGTATGTGATAAAGAAAAATTGTGGGACATTAAAGAACCCACACACTGTTTGAAAAGAGTAGGGCACATAGTGCCTGGTGTTGTGGTCTATCTTTGTGTAGTGTCTATCAAATTGATGGGGGGTACTGCGCCTTTGAATATTGTATACAAAGGGCGCAATATAGATAGGGAATTCATTCATTCATTCATTCTGATCGAACAATTACTTACAGAATAGATAGTTGTGAAATATCATTAAAAAGCTAAGGAGTGTACACTTAAGCTTATGGCATAACAATTATGTATTATCCCCTGAATAAGGATGAAATCAAATACAGCAAAAAGCAAGCCAATAAAAAAGAACTACATCATAACGTTATAATTATCAGAATGATGGTACAAACATAACAATCCTCAGAAAATATGTTTGGCTGAAATATATATTTTTTGCTCTAATTAATTGAAAGCCAATCAACATTCTCACTTTCTAAGTGAAGAGGGAGGACAAGGCTCATGTTACCAATGTTAAAATGTCTAATGGCCCGAAATCATACAAACACTAGCAAAACCATTCTAAAGTTGTTAAATCTCTAAATTGTACCCTGTACCAAGTTTTAACTTGATGGGAGATGCTACAACTGAAAACTAAAGTATCACCGCTGCAGTTCATTTAGCATATAAATGATAATTTGTTTCAAATGGCCCCATGTATTTACTGACTGGTTCTGTGCCTCTTGTCAACAGCATCAGGGGGTACAAGAAGTACAATCAGTTAATGTAGCCATGCTCAAAAATGAACTTCTTCATTAAACTTTCAGGGACATGATTGTAGTATACTGGCATCAAATAGGATAAAAAGTTACCTCTAAAATAATTTGCTAAATATAAGAGTGGCTCTATGGTTATTTATCATTTCTTTGCTGGCTAATAACCTCAGAAATGTCAACATGTCCGAGTGCTCACTGACAAGCTTAAATCCAGTCACAATAGGAGTATATACCAACATCTGGCTCCGGTTGTTCAAAGAGCGGATAACGCCATCCTATGGATAAATCGCTATCCAGCGGATAAGTGTTGCCAAAACGTACTGTGCAACCCACCGGATAGAGATTTATCCACTGTATAGCGTTATCCATCCTTCGAACAACCGGGGCCTGATCTACAATAGTCTATCCTGCAAATTCATGGTTCAAATCCTGGGGCAACTGGCTGAAGTTGTTAAAAAATATCAATGGATACACTTGCATATCCGAAGTGAAGTTATCAACTTATTGATTTTAAGACCCTACAAAAAAAATTGGTTTTCATAATCCAAAAACATCCCTTGCCTTCTTTTCAGTGGGAACTTTTCTGAAAGAACAAAACATAAATTACACGGATGACACAGACTTGTGGATTTAAGCATGGATTTGACAGGGGAGTGTGGAGGGGGGGGGAGGGCAAGTATCCACAGAAATTAGGCTTTTCTTTATCAGTATAATTAATTACTCCTCACACAAAGAAAAGGAGTGCTGCCATTGAAACAACATGGAACATCTGGGTCAGGCGCGGTATTAAAGTTTATTCTTTGTTCTTGTGTACTCCAGTTACAGTCTGCCTAAGAAACTTTTCCTGGCCCTCCAGGATTCATATTCGCCATCACCGCTAAAGTTACTCCGCCTTTTTTCGCTTGGATCGTCTCTTGATGCAAGGCGTTATGAAAATTACCTTGGGCGGCGAACGAAACTTCACTCTTCTTATAACTTTCTTTCGTTTGATTTTAGAGCCAGTAAAGTTTCTTTTTCCTGACAGTTTCAAGATGGTTTTTAATGATGTTGTATTCTCTTCAGTTTCAACCTGATCTTCTTTCTTTGACTCAAAATTACCAACTGGTAGATGAAGCTTAGTATTTCGCTGACGTTTGGACGCAGATTCCACCTTTGTCGGTTTGTTTCGAGGGAGAGCTCTTTCTTGGACTTCACTTGCTAGCGAAGAAATTGTTTGCAGCTTTGCTTCTTTTGTGATGACAGATTTCTGCTTTTTGGGTTGTTTCATGTCTTTGACATCTGTTGTTCTTATTCCTTTAGTGTGCATTGGTGATATAAATGACCCGTTCAAACCGATCCCACTGCAAGGAACAAGTAAACCAGAAGTCAAAGCAGCTCGGAGGGCGGATTTTATTACTCCATCAGCTGGTGATGGCAAATTTTTCACACCATTCGTTTCATCATTTAACTTCTCTTCTAGATACTTCACAATATTCTTGGTGGAAGCTCCATTATACTTTCCTTGAAGCATTTTCACGGCTTCGATAACGTGAGGAATGTAATTCCTCTTGCGCTTTCTTGTTGTGGGCGACATGTTCGAGTCCCACGGGAAGTCCAAGTTCGAATGGCGCGCTGGTCGCATGACGTAAGAGTTTTTAATGATTTAATTTCACTGATAAAACGATTTAATTTTGGATAAAGAGCTTTGATTATGATTGATTACGCGTATGATTAAATCATTAGCTGATAATTAAGATTACTGTCTATTTCAGAAAATGGCCAATACCGAAACTATTTCTGAAATGAAAGTTAGTTTGATTTGTAACAAATTGGAGAGCGAAGGAACGCAATGATAGGTCTCTCACTTCCAATCTATTCTCGACGTTAACTGTTAACATTGTGCTTCACTAAAATAGTAGCAACTTAACTAATTCTTAGCATGGGGAAAAGCATTGAGAATAATGATATCACATGGCTTTTATCTTGCTGTGTGACGAAAATAAACGTATTTGTGCACAATCCTCACAGTAAAGAGCAATAGTGAAAATCAGATCTTAAAAAATTCAGGCTTGTACTAGATTCGAACCACTGATCTCTGCGCACAGGCAGCCCAAGCTCACTACTAGAAAAGCGGACGTGACTCTTAACGTGTTGCGCAACGTTTTATATTTATAAAGGTTTGTATGGGATGTTATCGGTTTGCCTTAAAAGAGAGAAAAAAATGTCTTGTTTTGAAATAAAATGGGCTTACCTTAATGCTTTGGTGTTTTAGCAGTTGAACACCAACATAGCGCCACCTCGCCGAAAACACTTCAAAATGGCCTGAGACGTTCGGAATCAACAAAGAAAACAACAAAGCAAAAAGGTAAGCCCATTTTATTTCAAAACAAGACATTTTTTTCTCTCTCTTACGGCAAACGGATAACATCCCATACAAACCTTTATAAATATAAACCGTTGCGCAACACGTTAATAGTCACGTCCGCTTTTCTAGAGGTGAGCTTGGGCTGCCTGTGCTCTGCGATACTAGTGCAGCGCTCTACCACTTGAGCTAACAAGCCAACTGGGAGCAGGTCATCAAATTAGTCCAACATAAACCCGTAAGATGATAAATCAAACACAACGAATATATGAAATTCATATTTAACAATTACTCGCCGAAGGCGAGGTGAATATCGTCGAATAATCCACAAGACGAAGTCGAGGGGATTATTCGACAATATTCACTGACCCTGAGGCGATTATTGTTTTAGTATAATTTCAGAGCTGAACAACAGAGAAATTTCTAAAATCATAACATTTTAGTAACATTTAATAACATTTTATTTTAACAGTTTTTAGTATAATTTCAGAGCAAAGAGTTTCCAGCAATCTGATTGGTCGAGCGGTTTCTTATATGACGCTATATAAACCGCTCCACGTTCTCAAAGTAGCCTCGTAAGCAGACGTTCTTTGGGCTCGTCACGTAATCTTCCTGTTCCACGAACGACGTTCGTTGGGGGAGAGGAAGATTGCGTGACAAGCTCAAAGAACGTCTGCGTACGAGGCTATTCTCAAAGAGGACTGTTCCAAGCGCCAATAATATTGCATACGCATTTCATTTTTGTATGCTCCACCTATGGCGAATGAAGCAATGCTTTCATTTCAATTAGCTACTTTTTTGTGTACATTTATTTCACAAGATTGTGCGCATTGAGTTAAACAAATTTTCCAAGAGTGGAAGGGTGTTGAAACAAACTGAACACTTTTGTGTAGTATTTTATCTTCATGAGTAAGGGATTTAAAGAATTTGGGTTCATGTAAACGGAAAAAAAATCGCCTCACGCTAAGGCTCTGGATCACATAAAAAGAACTAGAATTTCTGGAATCTTAGCCGTGTAAATGACTTATCGTGAAAATAGTTGGAGTCATCCCTTATGTAGGGAATTCTCTGTTGAAAATTAAGGATATGGAGGGTAAGGGATCAGTGGAGTTCTATAAAAAGAATATCAGACTGTGTGAGAATCGAAGTAAACTTTATATTCAACCCAAATAACCAACAGAATAGTCTCAAACTGTATATTCTTATCCTGGGTTCTGATCTCAGGTGTCCTTTGTGCTGTGTTGCAATTAGGACCAATCAATTCTTTTTTGAAAAGGAGGAGTTGTTGGTTATTAGTTTAGTTATAACTTCCTTTCTTTTTATCCTTTTGAATGTTCGTTCGACAAACCCTCGCCCGACAAACATTTTCCCATGAATCTGCGATGTACACGAATTAGTACAAACTTGATCGAATCGATAGTGATGTTTTCAGATAATATTACAAATGTCAGACACTGATATGGAGTAACACATCTAATCTTAATGCATGCTCAGGTAGACATGTCCTTACATCACTTGGTTCTATTTCAAAGCTCCTTGTTAAGTCAAGGGAAACAAAGAGCCTGAGGAATCTCCACCTGAATTACGATTTACTCTATTTTTGTTCATGTTCCTTTGAGACATATCCTTTCATTTCTTTTTCAATGCTGCACAGTCTTTTGCACTTTCCTCCTCTTTCCTGTTGGGGTAAAAGATAAATAATTGTGAGAAGTTATGCCTAAATATACTGTTTGTTTGGATTTAAATTTATAAGTTTTCTCACCTGTAATCTCCCCTGGATGGATAGACGAATAATTCGGATAGGGACGAATAAATGGAGGTCCCGTCTCCTGCAGGGTTGGGGTAGGAGACGTTAATTTCCCACACACGAGATTACTGTGTGATGGATGTCCTCCCCTGGTGTGGGATGGGTGGGATATAGGGCGCACTTAATTTGGAGCCTCGCTCTGTTGTGCGACCCTCACCATACTCTGGTGAAAGTGATTAAATAAATTGTCCAGAAAAAGCTGCACAGCTTTACTTTTTCCTGATAGAGTGACCAAATGAAAAGACAAAACTAGTCATTTAGGCTATACCATGACTTAAAATATGTTGTCCCTTTGGCACTCATTTTATTTCATACTACAGGTTCAGTTTCAACGATACTTTTAGAAAGCATCTCGGTTTAGTTTCCTATCAAAAATCTTCTTTGATACTCTTTCCGTTTTTGTCATTTTAATAATGTAGTTTCTCTGTAGTATCAGCATGTAGTATTATCTTTAATTTATCACAAAAACAAAATAAATCAAAATTAAGCTGTTGTCAAGCGCGAGTTGTTGTTGTTGTTGTTGTTTATTATTATTTTACAAAAGATTACAAGCAAATTTACACAACCCGCATATAGCATTAGCTAGTCTTGGGGGGTATTAGAAATAAATAAGTAAATACTACACATTGCAAGCTAAAGAAGTTTAATTACCACAATAAACTAAAGAGATTTTACAATAAACTAAAGAGATTTCATTACTACTATAATTATTATTGGGGTTATAAGCCATGCATTAGTTTACTGCATTATAAGCTAAAAAAAAAGTACAGTTGTCATACAAATTAAATACAATAAAATTACTAGTGAGTTAAAACAAGACACAATAATCAAATACAGGCAGGGCAGACTGGAAAGTAGAGAGAAGAGAATTGTGATATACGAGTCACTATGGTCATCATCTTTTTTACCTTTTCATCATCTTTTTTACCTTTTTGTCATCTTTTTTAACCTTTTCGTAGTTTCTCTTTTATTTTTATGCACTGCAAAGTAGGGATTACTTTATCATTAGTAAGCTCCTCTATTTAGATGAACAATCTTGTTCATCTCAATTCATTTGCAGCGACAAAAGTGCTGCCTCTTCCCGCTATTAAGCAGGAACCACATCAGTACAACAGTATTATTCGTTGAGGACTTCAATTCAGAATATCAGCCACTGTTTAGAAGATTTTTTTTAATTGCATTTATTCATAATTAACTTTTTTCTATGATTTATAGATGTAATCTGTTTCTTCCATCATTGGACTGTAATGGTGTTTGCTTTAACTTTATATTCCAAAATTTAGTCTTCTTAAGGATGTGCCTAAGGGATCATGAAACTAAAGAAATGTTGGTTTTAGCTTCTAAAGAAACTTAGAAGCATTATTGCATTATTGTTCGAAATTGATTAACCCGTCTGGGATCAAACTGCCGTTTTGCATGTTAGCACTTCGCTCTAAGAAACTGTTCAGTTGACAACTCATCATTTTGACCCTTACTTGATTCTTCTGCTTCTAATGCATCGATGTCGACGGCTTGTAAACCAGCTTCATTTCCACCTGATCCTGTCATAATGATAAAGAAACTTTTAATTCGAATAATTTACAAAAGTGAAGATCACATAATTGTTATCAAAGTTGAGCTTTGTAGTTTTCCAGAACTATTTTTAAAATGACATCCTTTCTTTACCTCTAACTTCTTGTGATGTAACAAGTTGAACAGACTCCTCAGGTTCCTAAAGCGTGAGGTTGGATTGACATCGTAAGAAATCTTCTAACTAACTCAAAGGAAACCCTCAAAAGATGTCAAGAGACATAATGTTTCATCTTGCTCTTTTGCACTGGAATGATTAATTAACCTCGAAGGTGGAGGGACCCTTTATGCAAGTAATCTATGAAGTTGAACCTTGCATTTTTTTTCCTCTTCAGTTGACTCAGCACTGACCCGCACTGACTCCTCTAATTAAATTGTACCGTAATAGTTATAGGAGCCTTAAACACATACCTGAGGTTATTTATAATCCCTTTGTTCTTGAAGGCTTAAAAACAAATCAAATAAGGTGTACTTTATCTTTTTAAACTGACAACAGGTAAGTTAGAAGCGACCCTCTTTCCTTTTTTTATCAGCCTTAGAGCAATACTTTTTAGGGCATTATTTACTGGTTGCCGCAATGTTATTTTTGAAAAACAAAATCCACAGAAAAAAGCTGGCACTCGATCTTTTCCGCCATAATGAATGATAAGCAACTTGATTGCTGTGGCCTCATTAAAGAGTGCCGTTTTCTAAATAGCCTTTGAATTAAAGGTTGCAGGTTAGGATGAAACACTCTGTCACTACATGAAGATCGATGTAATAGAGCATTTCAATTGTACCTTAAAATTTGCATTTGTGGCTCCAAAAACTGTTTCTAAGTTAACTGCTGGGTGAACAGCATATCATTGCAAGCACTATACAGTGGAACCCCAATATAATGATATGCCAAGGGAGCAGTGGAATTAGATCATTGTATCGAGTTATCGTTATATCGAGACAGGATTCTGTCCCATACATTTTACTGTAACTTTTGCTGGGACATAGTATATTTATCGTTGTACCGGGAATATCGTTATATCGAGGATCGTTGTATTGGGGTTCTACTGTATTTGAAGATAGAGAATTCAAATTTTTTCAAAATAAGTCTAGAGGCTTATAGATGGCTCCTTATGTGACTTCCATGGCACTGAACGCCATCAAACACAAGCTTGGTGCCATTACATCTGATTCCTTGCCTCTTGATGTACGTCCTCGGCGGGTCCTCCTGGCCATCCATGTTTAGATATCTTAGCATAATTATCAGAAACCTTAAATGCGAAGGTTTCTCCACAGGTGCATTTTCGAGCACAGATTTTCGGTTTGAAAAAGGACATGACCTGAAAGTTTGTTATAATAGTTGTTGCTTTCAAATGAGAAATAATGGTTAAAATTTTTTGAAATACCTATACTTTGATAAAATGCGTAGCATCGTTATAATGAATTACGTAGGGAAAGTACATGCGGTCTTTAAGAAAATACAGTCTACCACATCTGGATTTGAGGCAGCCGTGTTGGCAATTTCTTCAATCATCTCCTGATTGCCTTGAAGGTCGAGGATACTCTCTATCGTGGTTTCTTCTCCAGGTGTTCCTCCAATTCTGACAGGTTGCCTGTGATTAGGAATCACCGCATCCACTAACCACTTTTTCACAATGGGAAAGTATTTGTCCTTTGAATTCAACATCTCAAGAATCTGTATTAAAGTGATATGCACTGTCAGGAGATGATGAAGTCGTTTCCTTGTTAATCCAATATAATACATAAGCTCTATGATGCACTCTCTTTTAAAGTAAGCCTCTTCCTGCTCTTTATTTCACTCTCGCTGGAAAAAGGGTTAACATAAAAGTAAGAAGTCAGGCAGGATATGATTACTTTAACGTGCACGGTCTCCCGGTTTGCTTTGTTATGTTAAGAAAAGCAAATAAAAAATATCACGAATGTTTCACACTTTTGACAGTTAACATAGTTATACATCACTATACCTACCTTCCCAGTTGAAAAAAGGAGGAGCACATAATTAAGTTGTGTTCTTATATCCAGGCCATCCATAAAACCGGTCATAGTTAAGGCCTCCTTGAAAATTTTGTCTCCCCTCAGGTTGGAAAATGATTTTAAGAGTTTTAAAATGATGCAGATGTTGTAAACAGCTCGATCTAAAAGAGGTTTCAACTCAACCTGGAGGTTCAGAGAGTCCTCCATATTCTCTTTCCTCTCAATTCCACTGAATGGAATCACAGCAATTCTTGAAAAAACTCTGAAAACCAAAGCAAAATAATGAAATTTTAACCCAGTAGTTTGCAACACTTCTTGGAATTAAGTTTACAGTCATCATTTTGAGGTTTTTCTTGAATGGAATATTAAATCAGAAAGTAGCGAGGTCAATTGAAGCCATGATTTGTTTATAATCATGATCTTGAAATACAACCAACGTAAATTTGTATCATCCAATCTCAGTTTAAACACGTACCTTCCAAGTTTTTCTTTGTCCTTTTTGGCAGTTGTTTTTAAAGCCTGTGGATTCATGGTTATGATGGGAACTGTTCTCGGCTTCGAAGACTTTTGTCTTGATGCTTTTTTCTTTTTGGACTAAAAAATAAGATATACGACTACTATAAATTTTGTATAGGAACAGTACGGAATACTTGAAAACATCAACTTATTCAAGTGGCATTGCCACTTATATGCTTGTTTTGAATAGGGCTATCATATAGAGTACAGGATTTCAATGACAATTACATTATTGTCGAAAGTCGCCCACACAAAGGTAGAACTGCTGTCACTTACAAGTAAGTGTCGCGATCTTTTATCTTTTCTTGCAGCCTTAATTACGACAAGGCAATCTCATGTATGAGATTTAGCTACGTATTTTTTTATTTTTTCTTAACATAACTAAGAACTATTACCCAGTCTTCCTTGGCGTTGCGTTCCAATTTTTTTTGTTTGCGTTTTCTTTTTTTTTTTTTGTCTGCGTTGCATATTTTGTTTGCTGCAGTATTTTTGTTTGCGGTGCATTTTTTTATTTGCTGGGTACTTTTTTTCTT